AGCTGGGTGGAGCTACATCAGACTGGGGAGGGAGTTGGGCTGGGGCTGCAGCGGGCAGGGGTGGGGCTGCGTCTGAAAGCACAGTGAAACCGTACAGTACTTCCATCTTGTTTGACACTGCTGGTGTTTCCACAAGCCTTAATCTGACTTCATATGATAGTGTACACAGTTTTTAGATGAGCGTGCACTGTATTGTCTGTAGTGTTTTTAATACACCATATTTTTAAAGGTAAAAGCTTCAGTTGAATCGAAGCTGAGGTTTTTTTATAAAGAGGCACTTGGGTTTTCTCCTCGTCCTCTGATCTCCTAGTTTAATGAATCATAGTGTGTAGTATCAGGCCTCTGCAAGGGAAGGCATCTGTCACCAGAATACTGTGTTTGAGAAGCTACTCATAGAGTACCAGCAGTCTTGAAATAGCATCCTGATCTCTTAACTAATCTCCGAGCTTCTGATGCCATGGTTCGTATTTGGCAGACCTGTGGCCAAGTTCGAAAGACAGGCGTAGTCCCACTAATCCAGAAGCCCCACTAAAAAGTCCCTTTAAGAGGCAAGACTTGTTTGTACAGCAGCGTAGCTGTCTTTTTGTAACATAAAAATATCCAAGAGGCTACAAATGAGGAGGACTGTCGAGCTTGTGTGGTTGGTAGCAGGTGATTTATCCAAGGATCTTATCCAGCCATTTCTTGAGGGAAACCAGAGTAGCAGCTTCAGTAATGTGGCAGAACAGCTTGTTCCAGACTCTGACAGCCCACTGTGTAAACAAATGCCTCCTGTTCTGTGTCTGAAAGGCACTTCCTGTTAGTTTTCAGTCTTGTCCTCGGGTACATGTTTCACTGTTGCTCTTGAAGAAGACAACTGAGTTGACTTAGTCAGTACCTTTGAGGATTGTGAAAACATGAGTCGAGGCCTTTTGCAGTCTTTTTTGGTCAAGACTAGAGAGATTAGCAGCCTTTAATCTGTAAAATACTTCTTTACCTCCAGGAGTTAACCCTGTCTCCCTCTCCTTTGAACTGATTTACATTTACATCAGTCATGGGGGGCTTATTCATCTCTGACAATAGTGACGGCTTACAGGTGGAGCTCCTGTAAACTGCGCTTGCTGAAATTAAAGAGGCAGACACCTGCCGTGTGGAATGTGTGAAAAAAGAATAAAAAAAGATTGAGTTAGTTCTGAACATATTCCTATCCCATGTGTGTCCTGCTATTAACCAATTAACTGCTATCTACCAAACAGGCTAGATGGGCCGATTGGCCTCCTCTCGTTTGTACCCTGTCCTGTGTTCATGTTTCCTCCTCTGCAGCATGACATCCATGGTATCTCAGAAGGCTGCTCTGGTGTATGAGAACTCCCACAGAAGTTCTGCGTAGCAGAACAGGCTACGAGTGTACATCCCTGTTTTTGCCCCGCGGAAAGGCCGTCCCAGGACCGGCTCTCTTCAGGATGGGGTTCTTACTCGGATTGCGGAGACGGCGTCCTGCCGAGCGGCGGTGGTTCCGGCTCTTTCCGGCTGCCGGGCCGTGTCGGGTCAGGACGCAGGCAGTGGGAACGGGCACACAGCCGGGGCGCTCGTGGTGCTGATGGACGTGTGATCCGGGCTCGGCCCAGCTCCCGGTGCGGGGGCGGATCTCGGACCCCGACAGGAGGTGTCACGTACGCGCGTCTTCTTCCTCGCTGGGTCTCAAGACCCTGTCGCAAGAGCCACCCAACCTTACAGCTGGCTGTCGGGTTCATTACGTTGGGAAATCGTAATGAAGGGCTGTGCTGTTTGTGATGATTCTGGGTTTTTTTTCTCAAAAATTAAAATGTTAGTGGTCGACACCTTCCTTTCATTTCTTGACATCAGTCCTGGAAAATTCACTGATGGGCTACTTTCAGACCTTCTGTTGCTAACTGGGTTTTTAACGTCTGCATAATAATACTTCTTCTCTATGTTAAAAAACCATCTGCTATTAATGTTAGTGCTCAGGAAAGAGGGACAGAAAGACCTGATATTCCTGAATTTTATATGGAAAAAGTAGCAGAAATGCGTCTTGTTTCTTTTTAAAAAACTCTGCATTGTGTGGCGATAGACAAGCATTTGTAAGACAAGTATCAAGCGCTGCGAGAGAGAAAAAATGGCTGAGAAGTGTTGCCAAGTCCTTGGCAAACCCAGAATAATATTTATCTCACGCAAGTAGAGCTCTGTGAATTAACCCTGTACCTTCATGTGATACGAGTGCAACACCTTGACCCAAAGAAAGGTTTCAGCCTCTAAATATTTAGGTTTCATTTAGCTGAATCCTTGAACTGTTAAGCAAGCAGAAGGTCTCTGATTAGCACTGTGGGACAGGCCTTGAGCTGTATGGCCCACTGCTATAGACTTGTTTGACAGGCACACTTTTAAACAAACATGGTTACCTGCCCCTGATTGTGCTGACAGAACGCAGGCCTGCTGGTGAAGCGAACCACTCCAGAGCTGACAGCCGCTGTAGTGGCCTGGCGTGTACCTCCTTCCCTGCTCAGGGCTGCACCTCACCATGTTGAGCCTCGGCCTCGGCTTCTGGGCCAGTCTGTCTCCAGATGGACCGGGGGCCATGAGGCTAGGAGATAATGGAGACGCCTGACCCTGGGACGTCCAGTTCAAGACGGAGGGATTTCTCTCACATATCTGTGTGTGTTACTCAAGAGTTGTTAAATGGTGTTTTAAACAATATTAATGCTTTCCACTTATAAAACAGCACAACTATCTGTACTTATTCAAGTCCTTTATTTAAGTCTGGTCCATCTGTCTGTTTTGGATGCTTTTACTGGTGGCTAAATTATTATATTGTTTGATCAGCAAAAAGTCATATCTTATCATCTATAATATATTATCTTTTATTTTTACCCATGCCTCAATGAATACTAATAACTTTAAATTGTGCTCAATTTCTGGCTACAATACCTTTTAATTACTTCTGAATTATTTCTGGGAATATATCAGTGTTTTATAGGCTTTGGGTAAAATGAGCGAATCTTGGTGGTAAATGAATGTTGTTCATAGACAATGCAAAGCCTTCAGTATTGAGCTTCCTCACGTTTCGAAATTTGAGGTCTCTGTATCAAAAGAGGATAAAAAAGCTTTTAAGGCACCACATTTGGTATTCTTGAATTTCTAAAATATTTCCAAATAAAAATTAATCATTACAGGCAGATAAACAAAAGTATTTTAGAATTTTCTGTGAACCTCAATATTTGCATAACAAAAAAAATAACCCCAAAAAACAAATTGTTGAGCAGTGACACTGGGAACCTGATTCTGTCAAATCTAACCTGTGTTTATCCAACCCATCTGATTTTGTCTCTGTCTTTATTACACAAATTAATACTGTTCCACACTAAAGAGTTAATCCAATTAGTCCCTACAGGTTTCACATTTTGTAGATGCAATAGGCAAGATTTACTCTTTAATACATATATCGCTTATTAACATGAACTTGGGGAAGGGGAGAGGGTTAAGTGGATTAAACACGCTCGTTTCTAAACCTCAGGAAAACAGAACTAAACTGTATGGTATGAGACTCCCAGAAAATTCCAGTCTAGCAAGAAATTGTAACGAAGAGCTGTGTTGTTTGTGCTGTTTCTGTTTTTTTTAAATCAAAAATAAAATGTTAGTAGTCGACCTTCCTTTCATTGCTTTACATCAATTCTGGAAAATTCACTGATGTTTTCTAGGAGCTACTTCCAGACGTGTGAATTCATGCTTCGACAGCAGGGATCGGTACTGTAGTGCCATGTGTGGCTAAATGTTAGGAAAGAGTTTAATTCTAAATATATTCTTTACTTGTATATGCAGTGTACAGTATGTACAGTGCACAACAGGTCCCAGTGAAAATCTGTAAGAAAATCTGCAGTTTTCAAATATCTTGACTGTATCTCTCATTTCTCCGGTTCAGAACTGTAAAGAGGAACCACCTGCCCCCACCCCAAAAGATCCGCTGCTCGCGCCGCGCGTGGCTTTGTTGCTCTGCTCTCGGGAGTATTGAACCTTGTGGCAGTTACTATTTGTATCTCTCCTGTTGATTCATGGCTTTTTAATTTGGAGATGTGATGAAGACGTCCATGAAGACTGGCCTGTGGGTCCTTCCAGCAGTGCTGTGCCCTGTGAGGTGTCTGTGCAGAGCTGGAAGGGTGTGAGGCAGAAGTCACCCAGATAGCAGAACTGTGGCGGAAAATACAGACATCGGCCCTCTCCACACACAGCAGCAAGTCAGAAAAAGTCAGACGGAATTAGGCTATAATCTGCTCTTTTGTATCTAAAGCAAACACAGGCAGTACCTCCGTTGCAACTTAATTTGACGTTTTGATGTGCAGAAGGAATGTGATAAACAGCACCACAGCTCTCGTGTTCACTGTAATAGTTTCCCATCATCCTCGGGCTGTTTCTTTTTTCAAATTTACACTTAACACCTTCCTGTGTATAGCCTTCTCATTTATCAACTCTGTTTGTCCTCCTGACAAGTGGGCTGCTTTCTGAATATCAATATCAACCAAGACAATGCATTTGTCTGCTGCAAGTAACCTTCAGCTAAATGTCATTCTGCTTAATCCTATTTGCAAATTAAACATTGAAAAAAACCTTTACTGTTTTTCCCTCCTTTCACATGGATTGTGACATTTGTAAATATTATGGCTGTTTTTTTTGTGTGTGTTTCTTTATTTGTTTTAAATAATGACTAGATGATAAAGACAGACGAGTGACTGGCCTTTCTTTCGCTCTAAAACAGTCCTGGCGCCTGGGAATCAGGTGTGTAAACGAAGGGTATTGGTAAACGTGCTGTGCAAGAGTACGTTTTTTTCTCTGTTTTAACATATTTCACACGAGAAAACCAGCTGCCCGTTTTCCCACTTGATGTGGAATGTTTTGTCGAATTTTCTGTCCAGTGAAGTCCCGTCCCACTAGGATTTTGGAAAAAAGCCTTACTTTCCCTAAACAAAGACTTGTGTGGAAAGGCATACATCCATACATTCCATATATCTATTTACCTAATCACTTGCGCTCCTCAGAGATGGAGAATGACTCTTGTAACAGTGGGGGGAGTTAAAAAGTTCCATTCTGATGTCTCTTGTGCCAGGATCCATAATGACTGCAGCGGAAATGCTGTCGGAGAACACACAGTGGAAATAGCTTCTTTGTATTCATAATGCGATGCGTAAGAGCTGACGATCTCTGTGCGAGAAGATGATTTTTTTCCGAAGTGAGGAAACCTTGTTTTTTTTTTCTTTTTGAAGGTACATCGTGTGATTGTGCCTTTAAAGACACGAGGCGATCTGATGAAACATCAGATCAGTTCTGGTAAATCTAGCTCTTTGAGATGCAGTGCCTTGAGGTATGGCAGTTCTGTTCCCAGCATTTAAGCGATAAACTGTGTAAACTCGAGATACAGTTATTTCTTCTTTTGCAGCTTTAAATACAAGCTCTCCCAAGACACTCCACCTGACATAAGAAGAGCTACAGTAGTTTGTGTAATGCTATGCAAAATATTGAATTAATTTTAAAGCTGTGCCTTATACATAAATTCCCCACATAGCAACACAGAATGGTGTAGGAATACAGGAGGCCTTTCACCTCTTGGGTCTGGTCTCCCATCCTGCCAGTGCTGTAACTGGAACCATTCTGAAGGCCTTAGTGGGTCTTAGAAATCCTGGCTATTGTCAATGACATAGTGTCTTAGTATAGTGTAATAGTAGGCCGTTGAAAATACAGTCAACCAACAGGAAGGCTTGGTAAAGGCCTATTAAACGATACTATGGGAAAACGCAAATAAACTACAGTATACGCGTAAAGCAGAGAGAAAATGGACCATCGCTATGCACCTTTGCTCACATACTGGGGCCGGCAACAGGCTCCTCTTGAGCCCGAGCCACTTCTTCTGTCGGCTTCACGATGACACTTCCCGAAAGCACAGCAGCCCGCGAGGCAGGGTCTGACTGGAAGGTGATGAAAGAGAAAATTACCCCCTGGGAAAGCGAAGCAAATGTGATTGCAGATATTTTCATAGACCCGTAATGACATAGGTCATTAAGAATGCACCAGCAGGACAAAAGCTGCTTTAAAAAACAACAACTAAAAGTGCTACAACAAAAACAAGACATATTGACGTCCAAAAGTGCATTGCAAGATTCTTTTTCTGCTCCTCTGCGAGAAAGAAGCACTGGACAGCAGCGTAAACTGCCCTTCATCTTAGCCACCTGTCATTCTGCTTTTGCTTTATTTACATCCTCCCACTATTCAAGCTGTGGCTTCTCATAAACTCCTAGAAGGGCTCGCTGGACAATCGGAATGATCTTTTCTCCTGGGGCAAATGCGCAAATGCCGATTTCTTAGTCCAGCTGTGAAGGAGCGACAGGAAGGAGAATGTCCGACGTGGACATCAGCAGTGGCATGTCCTTGACATAGAGCCTTTCCCGACAGGTGTCACAGGGCTCTTTCCCAAGTTTTAAAACCTCCACAAACCAAGAAAAGCTGTTTGACAACCTTTTGACTTTAATAGCGTACTAGAAAACGTGGAACCAGAAAAAGAACAAATTGAAACGGTCGGTCTTTAAACAAGCTTTACGCAGCTCCGGGGGTTCGGGATTTCTCTGAGTATTTGGCAGGGAATTCTGAAGCCTGGGTGCAGAGCCGATAAGCTGGAGCACAGCTCCGGTACACACAGAGCCTGTTCCTGAGAGCAGCACAAGAGCTGTGAAGACGTGGGCCTTGTCTCCTGCCTCTGGAGCTCCTTGCCGATTCGGAAACAAGTGTTTTTTAGAAGAATGCTGTGAATTTTAATCATAGCGGGAGATAAAGGGAGCGGGCTATCATACTTCTGCCTTTTCATTTCAGGTGGGAAATGCAGGATGCTGCTGCAGTCGAAGATGAAGAACAGGCCCTGGTGGATCACTTACAAAAAGCATATTTCAGCAAGAGCCCGGGATCATAGCGCTTCTCTGCCGCTCCTGGAAGTCAAACAGTTTCCCTGCCAGACGACGGCAAACATTGTAAATTAAAAATGCACTTGATTTAAATGAATATTCCTATACAAGCTTTAGTAACGCCGTGAAATATTTATTTTGATATACAGGAATTCAGAAGAGAAAAAAAATGCCTACGCTTGGCAAGGGATTCTCAGTAGGAAGAAGTTAAACAGGCATTTTAAAAGGCTTCTGTGAACCACATTTGAAAAATTACCACATGCGTTTATTTTTCAAGAAGCTTCACTACAAAAGACATAAATTGTGTTGATTAATTGACTTTAAACATAGGTGCAATGTAAATATCAACAGCAAAATAGACACAAGAATTTATTTGAATGTTTTTATTTGCTTTTTTAGTCAATTATAATTTTTCCAGCACTTCAAATCCTGTCTTCGAAATCTGCAGCTTTATGTTTGAAGAGGATAGTAACTAGGTACATGTTCAGCATACTTTCAGGACTTTTTGCTCACAAGTAAGACTTTCTCTATTTTTTTCTTTCTTCAAATAAAGATAAAATAGCCTAGCTATGTTTAAGGGAAAAATATTTTTCCTGACTTAAAGTTGATAGATGTGCACCTATAAAATCTGACAATTACTTTCAGAGAATTGGGTGTAAAATTTGCTCTACAGTAGGAAGCTTTGAAAATCACTGGAATGAATGTAAATTCCTATAGTTTCTGATGTCTGTATGAAGGTAGTTAGAAATCCAGAGTTACATAAAGAAAAGGCTTTGAGAGTTAAGTCACTGTGAAAGTTAGCTGTTCAAACTGGGGCAAAACACTGAAGGTTACCATGATGTATCCTTAAAAAAACTATTTTCTGTGTTCTCATATTCTGCTGTGTACGCATCTACAGCTTTAAAGTATAGTTGTTAATAAACTGATGACATTTCCTGGTTTTGTCTCTTTAATACAGCATGTTTTGAACATGTAGTTACATACAGTATTACTGCAGTAAATAAAGAAAGCTTTTGGAAAAACTTTCAGTATTCTCTTGACACTGTTTTAATTATTATTTACGTATCATAGTCAAAGAAAAAAAATATTTTTAGAAATTCAAACTGTGCTGTTGAATTATATAAATGAAAGCACAGGTTCAGCTTTGTAATGAATAAGTGTTACCTTATATGAAGTAGTTCAGGTGGGCAGCTGCGTCAGCAAGCGCAGTCTGCAAAGCAACAAGTAATACAGTAGGTTCATTCCAAGCTGAAAAGAGAAGAGAGAGAAACACAACATTCAGCTGTGAAGCCTTCTTCAGGTGTGGATGTCTGCTGTGAGGTTTGTAGTCCACACCTGAAGAAGGCTTCACAGCCGAAACATGTTTTTCTCTCTTCCCTTTTCAGCATAGAATAAACCTATTACTTGTTCCTTTACCTTATATGAATATTACTTTGTTATTTAAGAAAAGAATATGACACCTTTGCTAAAGTTTTCTTTCCACTGGTTCTTGTGAACCCAGCTCCAGGTATTTTTCGGGAGATAATTACCCACTGTCCGACAAACACGGCTTTGAGTTCCGCATTGTTTTTGGTTTCCTCTTTGCCAGAGTAACCTTGAAATCTCAACTGAACATTTGGTTGAGGTCTAAGAACTGAGATGGTCTATCCATGAGTGTAAACCTTTTTTTTTATAGAAGCTGATTCGTAGACTTTGCAGGACACTTAGTATCACTTAATCCTGCTGGAATAAAAAATCCTTCCAGTAACCCTTCTAGCAGTGAGTAAACCTGTGAGAGAGGAAACTGTCTTTACATTTTGTAACTGTCATTGATCCTTCTATAGTATAAGAGTCTCCAGTCCCCAAGGAATAAAAACAAACTCATACCATCTCACAGCCAGAGGAACTTGTTCTTAAAGAGTTTTTTTTTCAGTTTGTTTTCTCACTTCCTCTCCATACAGTGTTGCTTCCTTGGAGACAGAGTTCAGGTTTGGAATTGTCTGACTACAGAATTTGCTTGAAATAAACATCCAGTATCCAATGTAAAACTGTGCTTGCCGTCCGTTGTGTATGGATTGCATGTTGTTTTCTATTCACTAACCTCCATCTTTGGAAAGAGTTCTCAAGGCCTGAGTCAAATCCAATCATTCATCCACTTTCTAACTCATCCAACTCAAGGTCACGGGGAGCTGCAGTCCATCCCAGCAAGCATTGGCGCAAGGCAGGATACACCCTGGACAGGACACCAGTCCATCGTGCGTCAGATCTTTTGTAGTAATGTGCAGGTTGCATTCTGGCTGATCAGACAATGTTTTTCCTCACATCTTGCAGAAAACCTTCCTTTGGCTGTCACACCCGGAGCCAGCTGGGATGGTTCCTGTTCTCCTGCGTTTGTCGTTTTAAAATACACTGATGCTCTGGAACAGAATAGGAAGACAAGCAAGTCAGATATGTGTCAGGCGTGATGTGGAGTGGTTCTGACTTGTGGTGCAGCTCCAGCGGTGCACACAGCAGCTGAGCTCTGCCTCGTTGCAAGGTCGGCTCTGGGGCTAACAAGCTCACCTGCAGTGCTGCCAATCCTCTTTTGATCTCTAACCCAGTAACACCCCCTGATGCTGCTGTACACTGG